TGCAGGTCAGCGCGTCTGTAAGCGCTAACTGAGGTATTGGATGACCTTGAGGTAGCTGACCTTGAACAATAACGCCGGACAAAACAATAGAGGGCGGCGGATGGCAGAGACCACTACAAGCCCGCCGGTAATACATACGGGGTGAGCGTTGTTATACCAGTTGCCCACCGTTTTGACACTACTAAAACCACGTCAAGCTGGCAGTCACCAATTGGAAATTAATGCAGATTTGCTCTTAGACGTTTTCCTGTGCCTCACTCGCTAGCGATCGCACAGCAGCGTCTACTCAACCATGAAGAATTATTACCGACGCAGTCTAAGTCGATTTCCTATCCCATTTTTCTATATTTGTGTGGATACGCATCGACTGACAAATGAACCCGGCTATTTCAGCGAAAAACTTAGCCTGGTGATATTTAGATCATTGTTTTAAAATGGAAGTGTAGAACAGTGTTTGCGAGAAGCTCAAAATTAGGAGTTTCTTTTCATCCTGCATGTTATTTTGCCTTTTCAGACAAAGCGAGGGCAAAGCTTGATGGAAAATAGGCAGCTGGCAAAAATATTTACCGATGACGAGGGCCAAATTTTTGAACAAGTTGAAGAGCTCAATGAGGAGCTTCGTGAACTCTCTGACGCCAAGCGTAAACTTGCGCTCCTCAAGGACGTAAGAATGGACTTCTGCAAAGTGCACATTTTCATAGAACAAATAATTGTATGTAGCTGGCAGCAGTCTGCTTTTGTACTTGGTGAGTTTTAGTCGCCTTTACAGGTGTCGAACTTTATAGAAACGTGGCTCGATGCCTTTTTGACAACGACGGTGCCTTCGAACTGCTCTTAACGGACAAATTGAGGGTTTGAGTTAACAGCCTCTTCCTTCCATCAACAGGATGAAATTGCCTGCAAATCAGCTCCTGAGTGAATATTGTACATGCCAAGTAATAAATGAGTTCATTGTTTAGCCTTAAGTTGACAAGTCGGAGCACTGATAACTGAATATGACTCTAGCTCTCGACTTTCGACTTACTTTTTATGTTTTCACGGAAATTACTGCCTATCGATTATATGTTCTTGATAAATCTAACTGCCATTTTGGCTGATGAGATATGCAGGCCGATCCAGCCTATGTTTCTTAACATATGTAATATTCTGTAGGTAAAACTGACTTCAAAA